CTTCGAAGGAGAACGTCGAAAATGATTAAAAGGTGTTAAATACCATAGGCAAAAGTGCAGCATGCCACGGACTCCACTGTTTCTAGAGAATCATTCAGATAGTTTCAGTTCGATTACTTTTCAAATGGATCTGAGGTGGTCAAATGTTCAACAATATTCTGTCTAACATTTCCATATAATATACCGAATGAATGCAGCCTAAAACTTGATAAAAATGGCAGATCAAGAAATTGCAGCCTACGAGTTTGTTCAGTAATGTGGCAAATAGTTAAAGACTACGACGCTGACGGTCCCAAGAACGGTTCAGAAAGGAAAGGGGTTGAAGACCGTGGCAAGTCTCCGTAACACTTACAAACCTACCACTTATGGCATTGACGTCATCAAAAATAATACCGGCTCGGTCGTCGCCCTGGAAACCAAGCGACGAGCAGGCTGTTGGCAAACTGACGCAGACAGCAAAAAGTCGGCGATCAGAACTGCTCATTGCCCTCAGCCAGCCGGTGTGCGTGGCAACACAACGACGGCTGATGAAGACCGACGCAACGACGACGAAGATACCAGTCAGCTACAGATTCGCTACCCGTTCTGAACTAAGGAAGCAGACACCGCGATGCGATCATATCACGTCAGAAAAGGCTTCACGAGAGTGACACCGCCAGTGACAGATAACAGTCGGAAATTGGAATATATCCACACTAAGAAAGAAAGAACAAGTGTTAGTTGACGAGGCCATAAAGTACCAACTCGACATTCTTGGGCTCTCGTCAACAAAACGCCCAGGCTTCGGACTCCTGAACCTCAATGGATGGAAGCTGTTCTACTCAGGCGTCGATATCACAACTCGCACTCAGGCCGGTGTTGGCGTTCTGGTAGAACCCAACCTTGCCAATAGAATAATCGTTTGGAAGCCTATCACCGGCAGGGTGGTAATCCTCCGACTGAAGCTACAACAGGCTAACTCGATCACCTTGGTACAGGTCTATGCGCCCAATGTGGAAGGAGAATATGAGACCTTCCTTGAGGAAGTGCAGTGTGCTCTGTCCGAAGTGCCGAATACAGGGTCCTTCATACTGATAGGCGATTTGAATTCGCACGTCGGAGTAAACGCTGAAAAGTGAAACGGCGTGATTGGGAAAAACGGCCCTAGCGACCTCAATAATAACGGCATGAAGTTATTGCGGTTTTGTTCAAACAACGGATTGTCTATTATGAACACCTTCTTCGAGCATCGAAAAGTGCATCAGTACACCTGGTACCGGGAAGCTTTCGCACAGAAGTCGATGATCGATTTGATAATTGTATCGTGTGATTTAAGACGCACAGTAACGCATGTTCGCGTTATGAGGGGCGCAGAGATATCAACCGATCATTACCTTCTTGTTGGCAGCTGCGCTGTAAGAAATGGAGTACCATACGAAGATCTGGTGGTAGAATCAACCGGAGAATCAAATGGGAAACATTGTCTTCGGTGGACACGAGAGCGAAATTTGCAAACAACATCGCACAACGGTTTGAACAAATCCCAGTGATGGCAACTGACCTTGAAACCGAGTGGCAGCTCTTTAAAAGTGGCGTAGTCGAGACTGCCACCG